GACCGTCAAAAGACTCGGACTGAAAAACCAGCTGTGGGGAAAGGGTCGGGACTTCTGGGGACTTCGCATTAGAAAAATCAAGACATTCGATGTCTGGGACCCTGGGACCGCACGGCCGTCACCGCACGGTTTCGGTCACCGCGCCGATCGGGGGCCCTCGTATCCTTGCGCACTCCGCGTCGAGCCTCACCGAGTAGTCGTTCATCGCGAAGACCCTCGTGGTGCCCAGCACCAACTCCTTGGCGCTCGGACGGAACTGCTCCGGGAACAGGCCGAGCAGCAGCTTGCAGCGCTCCTTCGGGTCCGAGGGTGCGCTGGGGCCGCTGAGCTTGGGCCGGTCTGCGCCTGCGACACAGTCGTAGAAGTCCACGAACTTGTCGAACTCGATGCGCGTGGGGTACCTCACAGGCGGCGGACGCAGATCCACTGGCCAGGAGGCCACACGCGTACCCTACCCCACCGCCCCAGGATTCTGAAGGGGAGGTGGGGTTCACTTCGCTCGGGAGGTCCCGCACGAAGTGAACCCCACCTCCCACCTTACCCAGACATGCGACGTCCTGTTTTTTTCAGGACGGCGTCCCCAGAAGTCCCGACCCCTTTCCCCGGGACTGGTTTGTCGTCCTGCCTCGTTGTTTGACGGTCCCGAAGCCCGGCGTGGGCCTCCCGGGGCGGAAAACAGCTAAAAGCCCCCCGTCCTGACCATCTTACGGCGCGGTCATGTCTGGGCAGACATCGTGGGTGGCGGGGCAGGGCTCGCAGGTGGCCTTCCAGACCCACGCCCACGCCCTCGCGGCCCGGCCCGCGGGGAGCGGCGCTGGGTGGATTTGCACGGCCGCGTGGACTCTTGCGCTGCGCGCTGGGAAATGCGCGCCCCGTCTCCGCGGGTCGGGCGTGGACCACAGCGGGGGCCCGACCACAGGACACCCACCACAAGAGACCCAACCCTGAGACCCCAGGACGTCCATGGATTCTTGGCGTGGGAACGTCGCGCTTTCCACTGTGAACCCGTGGAAACCCAAGAAACCCGGGGCACCGGGGCACCCTGGAGGCAAGCAGGGTGTTTCTTGGCATGGGTCTCCACTGCACACACGGCCCAGCCCAGAGCAAACCTGGCTCGACCAGTTCGGGAGACCTGCGCTGCAGCTGCCGCGGGTGCCGCCCACCTCCAGCTCAGCCAGTACACTGTCAGCTCCCGTGGCCGCGAGTGGCCCCCGACCCCGGCTCGGCCAAGATCCGGCCTGGATTGGCGGCGCGCACAGGAAGGGCAGGGGGAGGGGGGAAGGCTTTTCAGAAAAGGGCTACCTCTTGGACGGCGCCTGCCCTTCATCTACAGAGAAGGCCTGCGCCTTCTGAGAAGCAGGGGTGCCCTTAAGAAGCCTCCCCCCCCCCTGCGCGTGGCCGATTGGAGAGAGAGCCTGCAGGATCGGGCGCTCTGGCTGAGCCACGCTTGCGCCAAACCCCGCCCCCTGCTGACGGACCGGGGTCGCGGCCCAGGGGCCCCGCCCACGGGGCAGTGGCTACGGCTGTGCGTTCTGCCCGTGTGGGCGCCCCTCCCGCCGGATCCGCACGGCCTCCAGCACCCCGCTGTAGCTCAGCTGCTCCATCACGGACCGGGAGTTGAACACCCCCGCCTTTGAGGGGGAACGTCTGGGGGGACTGGTTCAGGGGGGGATCTCGGCCCGGCATCGGCGGCGCATCGCCGATAGATCGGCGACCGGCCACCGTTGGCAAATCCAAACCTGCCGCGGCGGGGCGGGCCATCGGGCCCCTATTGGCGATCCATGGGCGCTTGGGGGTCGATTCCTCAGCCCCCCTGAGCCTGGTGAGGCTTCCGGTTGCGGACAGACAGGGCGGCCCCCCTGGTAGTCCCAGCTGGTCTCGACAAGCCCCCCGCGCGGAGCGCCCCAGGGGCGCGGCTGGAGGTAACGCCCGGGTGTTGAGATCGCCCCGCACTTCTCGGGCGGCCTTCTGAGGCCAGCAGGGACTACCCGGGGAGACCGTCTGTGCGCAGCCCGAGGCCTTACAACCTGAGCCTATCCCTCCGTAGCGTTGCCCCTGAGCCTTCTTCTCCGGGTTCGGCTTGATGCACCGGACGAAGTGCGGCTGCGCCTCCTTGACCTTCGCCATGAGCGAGGCAAGGGACGTGCGGAAGCCGTTGCTGACGGTCTTGGCCTTGCGTTTGGCGCCTCCTCAGAGGAAGAGACCACGGCATACGCATACAGCAGACGCAGACGATACGAAACCTTGGGGCACATTCTGCGTCAAACTTCAAGCTGTTCCTGAGGTGCCCCAGGTCTTCTGTGTGCAACCCGATCCATTGGGGGCCTTCGACGGGCCGCGCGAATTCCTCGGATCGGCGCTTGGAGGAGGAGGAGGAGGAGGAGGAGGAGGAGGAGGAGGAGGAGGAGGAGGAGGAGGAGGAGGATGTGGAGGAGGGGCGCGCGGAGCGCGCCAGGGGCGGCGCGCGGGCTGCACACAGGGGGGGGCCCTGGGCAACAGTGACCTTTGGTGCGCGGCTTTATTGCTTGGGCGAGCTCGGGGCGGGGGGGAAACTTAAGCGTGCAAGCCGCTGCGGTCGCATCGCGCTCGGAGACTGTAGGCGGCCGAAGTGGGCACGCGCGCCAAAGGCCACCCGAGCGAAAACGGTCCCTCCCCGCGTGGCGCGTGCGCCGAAGCGCCGGAGACGAGGCCAGCGGGGGCCCCGGCGCAGATGCAACGACTCCGCTTGACCATTGGAACGGCTACGCCTCTTCTGGCGGGTGGTATTGGGGGGGGGGGGGGGACCCACAGGGGAGGCGAAGAGAATGGCCCGAAAGGCGCCCTTTGGAGCCCCTTGTGGAGCCAGCCGGTGCCCAGAAGGGGCCCCAAAGGGCCCCTGTGGGGCCTTCTTCTTCACCCCCCCTTTGGGTCACCCCCCCATTACCACCCGCCTGACTTGCGTCGCGCGTTCTCATTCGGCTCCTGCTGCACCGTCGTTCGCCTCCGCCTGATGAGCCTGCACGACGCCAGCTATCTCCTTGAGCACGACGTTGGTCGTCGTCAGCAGGCAGTCGGCCGCTTCGTCTGGAGGCCTGTCGAGGTTTTTCTCGATGAACCCCTCGACGTGATACTCGACCCTGCCCGCGAAGTGCTCCACGGTGAATATCGGCTTCTTGACCTTGCTTGGCAGCGCGCCCGAGGGGGGCGTTCGAGGGCGGGGCGGCCCTCAAAGAATGCCGTGAGGTTATCAGAAGTTGGAGCACCATGGGGGACCAGCTCTAGAACAAGAACATACTGTAGACGGATTTTGGAGGACAAATAGAAAATACAATTACTCCGACGGAAAGACCTCACATGAAAATCCTTTCGGCTTATCTGAAAATAACCTGAAGCGGGGGCCCCATAGGGAGCGGGCTCCTTCCTGAGACTTCCTTGCAAGTCACTCACAGACGATCCTCCCGCCTGATACTTCCCCCATATTCAGGCCTCCGGGGCCCAAAAGTGACGACAGTTACAGGTTCGAGGAGGACCCGCTCGGATTCAAAAAATTCAATTCGGGCCCTCATAGGGAGCAGGCTCCTGACTGAGACTTCCTCGCAAGTCACTCACAGACGAGCCTCCCGCCTGATACTTCTCCCTTTTCAAGCCTCAGGAGCCCAAAAGCGACGACAATTACAGGTTCGAGGAGGACCCGCTCGGATTCAAAAAAGTAAGTTCGGGCTCTCATAGGGATCGGGCTCCCGCCTGAGACTTCCTCGCAAGTCACTCACAAACGAGCCTCCCGCCTGATACTCTCCCATGTTCAAGCTAGCGAATGAGTGGTTGAGTGAGTGAGTGAGTGAATGACTGAATGAGTAATGATGATGGTGATGATGATGATGATGATGATGATGATGATGATGATGAGGATGAGGATGATGAGGATGATGAGGATGATGCAGATGATGAGTGAGTGGGTGAGTGAGTCTGTGTGAGTGATTGCGAAGTGATGACTGAGTGAATGAGTGATTATAATAAAGAGTGAGTGAGTGAGTGAGTGAGTGAGTGAGTGAGTGAGTGAGTGAGTGAGTGGGTGATGATTTAGTGTGCGTTCTGGTGTGTGTGTGTGTGTGCGTGTGTGTGTGTGTGTGTGTTTCCTCTGCGCGGGGTGTTCAGAGAAAACAAGCATCCCACTTTGGATATGGGGAAAACAACTCCGAAATTGACAAAAATTGTCAAAACATCGTCCTCTGATTCTTCTGTTTTGACTATTTCTGAATATTCCCCCTGTAGCGGGACACGCCCGACTTGAGTCTAGAAGCAGGCAGACTTGGCCCTCCAACTCAGAAAGCCCCCCGCCTTCCAGGAAGCCCTCGTGGCCTCGGAGCCCCTCCCGGAAGCCCCTGCCGCCTAAAAAGGCGACCCACAACAGGGAAGCTCCCCAAAAAGGAAGTTAACTTCGCGCGCCCGCGCCGCCCCCACTGCCATGAGAAGGAAGACGAGGCGGATGAGGAGGAGGAATCGCGCCCTTGAGGCGGCGCCAACCTTGGGCATGATGAGCCTCTTGTGCTTGTCCTTGAGCTCCCTGTCGAGCGCAGAGTGGAAGGTGTCGTCGCTCGCCTTCATGCCGCCGCAGCTGTCGTCCAGCTTGGCCAGGATCCCCGCCTTGCCAGCGATCAGCTCGATCGCGTCCTGCTCGTCTTCGCTGAAGAGGCCGGCAGGGATGGTGACCCCTTCGGACTTCAGGATCTCGAGCTCTTGCTTGATGAAGAAGTCGTTGAAGTGGCTCTGGAGGTGCTCGTTGCTGAGGTTGATCAGCAGCTGCTCCAGGGAATTCTTCTCGAAGCTCTCGAAGCCCGCAATGTCGAGCAGGCCCAGGAACTGGTCGACCGCGGTGGTCTGGAAGACCAACCAGCAACGCATGACTTTCGGAGGCGCAAATCTCTCAGGCCGGCACCAGATCACCCATCCCCGCACCCATTCGTGGCGCACGGAGCGCGCGGGGGCGGCGACGCATGCGCCGCCAAAACTGTAGGGAAGGTTCGGTGGCAACTCATGGGAGCCTCCCATACCAGCTTGTCGGCTCTTGCGAACCGACGCTAGTCGACGCTAGATCGACGCTAATCGAGGCGAAACCGACGCTAATCGATGCGAACCGCCGCTAAATCGGCGCTGTCCCATCGACTTCCAGACGCTACTCGACGCTGCTCGACGCCAGCGACGGAATCCAGAGGGCATACCCGGCTCCCACGACCTGCTGTACCCAAAGGGAGGGCGTCCAGCGCCGGCCCGGCAGATCCGCGCGGACCTCCGAAAGGCGCTCCATACGGCCTCCCCGGGGCCCTCCAGGGGGTGCCCCCTGGCCACGGCGTCTCGGGGGGGGGGACGGGGCTGGCCGTGGCGACCAGGTCCTCCCCCTCCCCCTCCTCCTCCTCCTCCTCCTCCTCCTCCTCCTCCTCCTCCTCCTCCTCCTCCTCCTCCTCCTCCCTTTCCTCCTCCTCCTCCTCCTCCTCCCTCCTCCTCCTCCTCCTCCTCCCCCCTCCCCCTCCTCCTCCTCCTCCTCCTCCTCCTCCTCCTCCTCCTCCTCCTCCTCCTCCTCCTCCTCCTCCTCCTCCTCCGCCTCCCCCTCATCCTCATCCTCCTCTCTCCTCTCTCCTCCTCCTCCTCCTCCTCCTCCTCCTCCTCACTCGAAGCTCGGAGGTCCGGCCGCGGAATTTCACGGGTCCGCGCTGAGACCCCCCTCCCTGGCGCGCGGGAACGCGGGCCAGGGGCGGCGGCCAAAGGGGGGTCCCGCGCGGATCCGAGAGATCCGCGCAGACCTCCGAGTTGTTTACGTTTGTGCCATTCGTCGTTCCCTACCAGGGGCCCCACACTATGAGTCCGGGAAGCTTCAGAAAACGTGACCGCTCGGACATTTCGATCGCACTTTTTTGATAAACGAAAAAACGGAAAATACATAGAAAATAATAAAAGTAAAGTAAGTCCGAAAAAAAAAAAAAAAAGAGAAAAAAAAACAATAAAAAAAAAATGAATAAAACAATATAAGAAATAAAAAACAGATACAAAAAAATAAAATAACAGAAACAAAAAAAGATAAAATAAAAAAAAAAAAAGACAAAAAAATAATAAAATAAAAAAAAGGTAAAATAAAAAATCAAACAAAAAAACAAAAAATACACAAGAAAAAAGAAAAAATAAGAAATCACAAAAAAAAAATAAATAAAGCATGAAGCAAGAGTGTCCTGAGGAAAACGGGTCGTGGATCCCAGGACGTTCCCCCAAGATCAGCGTTTCGTTCTGAGTGCGTTCTCATAATGCCGAGGCCCATGGAGGGCGCCAACCCGACAATCCCCACCACAATTCGAAGCAGTTCAGAGCAATACAAAGCAATGCAATGCCAAGCATTGCGTTGCATTGCTGGGCGTTATTTGGCATTGCTCGAAATCGTTGCTTGGCGTGGCTTGGCGTTGGCGTTGCATAGCTGTGCATCGAAATGCCTTGCTTGGCGTTGCTTGGCATGTCGTGGCGTTGATCGGCATTGATTGGCATTGCAATGGCAATGATTTGGCATGTATTGGCAATGATTGGCACTGCTTGGCACAACTTTGCCTTGCTTGGATCGTTGCTTGGCTTGGCATTCCTTGGCATTCCTTGGCATTGCACAGCGTTGCTGTGAGGTGCGTTGCATTATGTTGCGCTGTTTGGTGTTGCTGGGCATGGCTTGCCATTGCTCGGGATTGCTTAGCATTGCTTGACATTGATGGTTCACTGCTTGGCTGCTTGGCATTGCATGGATCGTTGCTTGGCATTCGATGGCATTGCTTAGCATTGCTTGAAAATATGCTGCTGCATGACATTACTTGGCATGGCTTGACATTGCACGGGCACCTCATGACTTGACATTGCACGGGCAATCCCCGACAATCCAGGGTAACCCTGGGCAATCACGAGCAGCGCCCAGGGTAAAGGACCCTACAGCGATCAGTTCGTGTCACAAACGTGCGAGCCCCCCCACTCAAGCAACTCCTGATTGGGGGAACACCTGCGTACCCAATTCCCTCAGGACTCGGCTGATTCACTGGGACGCACAGAGACATACCAGCCCTAGATGTCCTCCACGGAGGCGCGCGTCCGACCCGAACATATAGTATACATGTCTTGAAATCTATCGTCTCCCGAGCGGTGTTGCCAGAAAGCGCCCACCCACCAAGACGCACGTACTAAAATACTAGCAGATTTCTCGGTTCGCGCGTCGCCTTGGGGGGGGGGGGGGGGCGACGCGCACAGAGTATTGACACGCTTGGGTGGCGCCGATTCGTGGCGATGTTTGGCTCCCGACGGCCTTCAGGAGCCTCTCGTTGATCTTCTCCACGAGCCACTTGAACAGCCGCCCGTAGACCAGGCGCGCGAGGGCGTCGCAGCCGGCCTTCGCCTCCCGCGCCTTCAGCCGGGTCTCCACGAACTCCTGCCGAGGCCCCAGGGGATCATCGAGGAGGGGGGATCGAGGAGAATCGGTTCGGTAGACCCGAACAAAGGGGTCCAGCTGAAAAGGGGGTGGTGCTATAGATTTGGGGCAATTGCATGGCAGATGTATCGCGCAGGAGAGTTGTTTCGCATTGTATGGCAACTTAAAATAGTGCACACGAAGATCCAGCAATACTTTGAACCCACAAATCTACTGCACCAGATCTATTGCACCCCCCCCCCTGGTAATTAGCCGGACCCCCGACCCCCTTTGGGGTCAACCAGAATCGGGGAGGGAGGCGTTTAGGGATGTTTTCTTCTTCTTTTTTGGGGGAGGGGGGGGGGGAGGGCCGGGCGTTTCTGAACCTCCCCCGGCCTGCACGAGCACCCTGGGGCCTGCGGGGAGCGGGGGGGACCCCGTGGGACCTCCAGCGGTCAAGACCCGCGGCAGGATCACTCAGCACCGACACGAGAAATCGGATCTAGAGGGAAAAGAACTATGCACATGCACCGATTCTGGCCAGGCCCATCCTGAGCCCAGGATCGGTGCATACGCCCTCCTACCTTGGCCAGGAAGGCACATGCACCGATCCTGGGTCAAAAATGGGCCTTGCCAGGATCGGTGCATGTGCATAGTTCTCTTCGCCCGAGGATCCGAATCGGAACCGAAGCGTCGAATCGGCCCGCGTCGGGACAGCGCCGAGATCGACTCGGCTCAGCCGCGCCAGGATGCCCAACAGCGCCACGCAGGCGTCGGGCCGCACCGGGTCCTCAAAATATAGATCGGAATCGAGACGGCATCGAATCGGATCGCATCGGCATCGAATCGGGTCGCCTGCCGAGGGCGGCATCGAATCGGATCGATCCGCTCGAAATTCTCCCTGCGGGGAGGCACCAAAACTTTCATAAGACGAAACACAGGACCAGGATAACACATCGGGTGCAAGTAGATCGAGAATCGCTGAGATCCGGCGGCTCTGGAGCATGTCTCGGGCGGCGCGGCCTCCTCAGAGCCTTCTGGAACGCTCTGAGAGCGTTCCGGCACGCTCTGTAACGGATTTGTCCTCGTCCTGGTCCCGTCCGATGTATTCGCAGAGCGCTGTGAACGGCCCCTGAGCTGGGAGCCCAAGCATGCTGAAATCGCGGAAAACCTTCCGTCCGTAGAAAAAAGAAAAACGCCATTACTAGAAACTGTTGGCGCTCCGCGCGGATTTCTTGGACCTGCGCTGGAGCCCCTCCCTGGCGCGCGGAGGGCGCTAGGGGCGGCGCCGGAGGCGCCGCGAAGGGGGCCCATAGAGGCCTCCTAGATGGGGTCGGAGTAGTTAGATGTGGTCGGAGGATCGAGCCGCATCGCTGATACATCGGCGATGCATCGGCAACGTAGGCGATGCCTCGGCGACGTCGGCATCGAGAAAATCGGGCTCCGCATCGAGCCGCATCGCCGAGACATCAGCGATGCGGGGAGATTCTCCCACCCCATCCACTCCGACCCCATCTGGGACCCCTAGAGCCCAGCGCGGATCCAGGAAATCCGCGCGGAGCGCCAAAAGTTCATGTTTTGGCATTGTCTCGTCTTCGAATCTGGGGGGCGAGCCCCGCCGTACGGCCCGCGACTTCAGGCCTGCGGGCAGGCACTGGGAAACTCTCCGGCGGGTGCCGCGAGGACGACAGGCCGTTCCAGGGCGTGCCGGGGCCGAGATCCAAGAGGCTCCCAAGAGGCCCCGAAACAGCTCCCAGGTGGCCCCCGAGAGCGACCCGAAGAGCCCCGAAGAGGCATCCCTGAGAACGGTGGCGGGATGGACCGACGGGCATTAGATCCGCCGCCCCCTGTCGATTCACCGCAGGGGTGCCCGGCGTGCCGAACGATATGGCTTTTGGCTTTGGCTCTTTTTCCAAAAGAACTCCCCCGAGGGCTTCGGCCCGTCCCGCCGGCCACCCCGAGAACCCACCCGTCGTCGCCGTTCTTGTCCCAAGACGGCCAAGATGGCCTCCGAGACGGCCAAGACGTTCGGCCACACAGGCGCCTCCAAAAAGGCAGGGGACGGCGGTGATTCGCCGGAGGCGTCTTCGATCCGCCGCCCCCTGTCGATTCATCACAGGGGTGCCCGGCGTGCCGGGCCCTTTCGGTTTCGGTTTGGGTTTTTGGTCCTTTCTCCAGAAAGAATCTCCGCCATGGGGGGCTCCGGCCCGGTCCGCCGGGCCACCAGGAAATTACCACACGGCCCGGTTGCACAGGCTTTTCCTGCTCCAGATGGCTCCAAGATGGCCCAAGGCGGCCTCCAAGATGCCTCCAAGATGGCCTCCAAGACGGCCCAGGAGGGTCCCAGGTACTTCCAAGCCCACCCAAGAAGCCTCCAAGACGGCCCAAAACCGCCAAAGAGGTGCCAAAGAGGCCTCCAGGACGGCCCAAGAGGCCTCCGAGAGATCCTCCAGGAGGGCCCGAAGCCCAAATCATTGCTTTTCCGTAGGTTTTTGAAGGATCTTGGCATTTGCTTCTTCTCGGCCTTCCGACGGCCCGAGACGACCCAAGAGCTCTCACAGATCGCCGCACGCCCAAGAGGCCTCCAAGATGACCGCAGAACGGCCCAAGAGGCCCCCAAGACGGCCTCAAGAGGCCCCCAAGACAGCCCAAGAGGCCACCAACACGCCCATGAAAGCCTCCAAGACGGCCCTAGAGCACCCCAAGGGGGCCCCAAGTAGGCCCAGAGAGGCCCCCAAGACGGATTCCGACGGCGTCAGACGGGCCAGGAGCCCACCAAGACGGCCGAAGATGGCCCTAAGATGGCCCAAGACGGCCCAAGAGGCCCAAGGAGGCCGCGAAGATGCCTCCAAGAGGCTCCCAGGAAGCTCCCAGAATGCCCCAAGAGAGTCCCCATAGGCTCCCAAGATTCCCCCTCCTCCTTTTCCTGTTCCTCCTCCTCCTCCTCCTACTCCTCCTCCTCTTCCTCCTCCTCCTCCTCCTCCGCCTTCTCCTGATCTTCCCCGCCACCCTCCCCCAAGTGTTCCCCGAAAGGGTTCCACAACGGTTGGAGGAACACATGGTCCGATAGCTTGGCGGAGCTCTTGCCACAACGCTCGGCCACATGGGCGATTCTGGAAGGCAGGGAGCGGCGGTGATTCGCCGTAGGCGTCTTCGATACACACCTGATTGGTCATCTCCCTGCCATCGGCTTCAGTCTACTCGTTGAGGGCCTCAAGGCGTCTGCTGTCTCTCGACTCGAGTCGGAGTTTCCAGTTCGCTGCAGGTGATCTTTGGCATCTCTAGATGCACTTATGCAGATGTGCCTCGATTTGTCCGGACTGATCCCAGCAAGTCGCTTGGGGGCGAATCGTCAAGCCTTGACGTTTGGCGCTGGAAAGGTAGCAGGGAGCATCTGTAGCTGAGAGGTGCGCTGTCCCTGCGAGGCGGTCACCCGCGAGAGCCCCTTCTGCGCGCGCTGTCCCCCTGCCAGGGCCTCTTGGGGTGCATGCTATCCCCGAGGTGGGGAATGGCGCCACGTCGCACTGTATCCTCCCAGCGCCACACGTATACTCAGCCTGATCCCAGCCAATGGATTGAAGCAGAGTCGTCAGGCACTCATAGAAGAAGAAGAAGAAGAAGCGCAATAGACATTAAACTGTTGGCGCTCCGCGCGGATTTCTTGGATCCGCGCTGGACCCACCACCCTGGCGCGCGGAGCGCGCCAGGGGCGGCGCCCGAGGCGCCGCCGTGGGGGGGGGGGGGCCAGCGCGGATCCGAGAAATCCGCGCGGAGCGCCAGCAGTTCATGTGTATGGCGTTTTTTCTTCTTCGACTTAGGGATTCCTACGGTCGTGTTGAACAGGGCTGAACCTAAACGGTGTTTGTCGTTTTCGTTTTGTTTTCGTTGTCCCTCGCTTTTGTCTCGAATCCACCTTTACAGCGAAACGAAATCGAAACGAAAACGGCCCACGAAATCGCCAATTATCCCGGCAAAGCAACCTAACAGCGATGTGTAGGAGCATATCTGGAAGCATCCCCCTTAAGATTCAGATGAGAATCCAGTTGTAGAGTTCTGCTGTTCTCGCAGTCGTAGTCGCTTTCGCGATGACAGTCGCAGTGGCCTGCATTAGCCTCAGCCTCAGCCTCAGCCTGCCTCAGCATCAGCCTCAGCCTCAGCTTCAGCCTGCCTCAGCCTCAGCCTCAGCCTGCTCCTGCATCAGCCTCAGTCTGCCTGCAGCATCGGCCTCAGCCTCAGCCTGCCTCAGCCTGAGCCTGCCTCAGCCTCAGCCTCAGCCTCAGCCTGCCTCAGCATCAGCCAGCCTCAGCCTCAGCCTCAGCCTCAGCCTCAGCCTCAGCCTCAGCCTTAGCCTCAGCCTCAGCCTGCTTCAGCCTCAGCCTCAGTCTGCCTTCAGCCTCGGCCTCAGCCTCAGGCTGCCTCAGCCTCAGCCTGCATCAGCCTCAGACTCAGCCTCAGCCTGCCTCAGCATCAGCCTTCCTCAGCCTCAGCCTCAGCCTGCCTCAGCCTCAGCCTCAGCCTCAGCCTGCTTCAGCCTCAGCCTCAGTCTGCCTACAGTCTCGGCCTCAGCCTCAGCCTGCCTCAGCCTCAGCCTGCATCAGCCTCAGCCTCAGCCTCAGCCTGCCTCAGCATCAACCTGCCTCAGCCTCAGCCTCAGCCTGCCTCAGCCTCAGCCTCAGCCTGCTTCAGCCTCAGCCTCAGTCTGCCTTCAGCCTCGGCCTCAGCCTCAGCCTGCCTCAGCCTCAGCCTGCATCAGCCTCAGCCTCATCCTCAGCCTGCCTCAGCATCAGCCTGCTTCAGCCTCAGCCTCAGCCTGCCTCAGCCTCAGCCTCAGTCTGCTTCAGCCTCAGCCTCAGTCTGCCTTCAGCCTCGGCCTCAGCCTCAGCCTGCCTCAGCCTCAGCCTGCATCAGCCTCAGCCTCAGCCTCAGCCTGCCTCAGCATCAGCCTGCCTCAGCCTCAGCCTCATCCTGCCTCAGCCTCAGCCTCAGCCTGCTTCAGCCTCAGCTTCAGTCTGCCTGCAGCCTCGGCCTCAGCCTCAGCCTGCCTCAGCCTGAGCCTGCATCAGCCTCAGCCTCAGCCTCAGCCTGCCTCAGCATCAGCCTGCCTCAGCCTCAGCCTCAGCCTGCCTCAGCCTCAGCCTCAGCCTGCTTCAGCCTCAGCCTCAGTCTGCCTTCAGCCTCGGCCTCAGCCTCAGGCTGCCTCAGCCTCGGCCTGCATCAGCCTCAGCCTCAGCCTCGGCCTGCCTCAGCATCAGCCTGCCTCAGCCGCAGCCTCAGCCTGCCTCTGCCTCAGCCTCAGCCTCAATCTGCCTTCAGCCTCAGCCTCAGTCTGCCTCTGCCTCAGCCTCAGCCTGCATCAGCCTCAGCCTCAGCCTGCCTCAGGCTCAGCCTGCCTCAGCCTCAGCCTCAGCCTCAGCCTGCCTCAGCCTCAGCCTCAGCCTGCTTCAGCCTCAGCCTCAGTCTGCCTTCAGCCTCGGCCTCGGCCTCGGCCTGCCTCAGCCTCAGCCTGCATCAGCCTCAGCCTCAGCCTGCCTCAGCATCAGCCTGCCTGAGCCTCAGCCTCAGCCTGCCTCAGCCTCAGCCTCAGCCTCGGCCTGCTTCAGCCTCAGCCTCAATCTGCCTTCAGCCTCGGCTTCAGTCTCAGCCTGCCTCAGCCTCAGCCTGCATCAGCCTCAGCCTCAGCCTCAGCCTGCCTCAGCCTCAGCCTGCATCAGCCTCAGCCTGCTTCAGCCTCAGCCTCAGCCTGCATCAGCCTCAGCCTTAGTCTGCCTTCAGCTTCGGCCTCAGCCTCAGCCTGCCTCAGCCTGCCTCAGCCTCAGCATCAGCCTGCCTCAGCATTCAAAATGTGGCCAGGGAATGGAATTCTGGGAACTCGAAGAACACGAAGTGGCCTACAGTTGGCTCCGGGCATTCAAAATCATGCCCAGGAATGGAGTTCTGGGAACTTGAAGAGCACGAAGTGGCCTACAGTTGCTCCGGGCATCCAAAATGTGGCCCGGGAATGGAGTTTTGGGAACTCGCCGACGCACGAAGTGGCC